AATTTAGAGGACATAGCAGCTGATATCTATGGTACAAATGATAGATGTAGCAATATTGTTTGTTTTCTTCTGAAAATCTAATACTCGCAGTTATACTGTGGGTAATGTGGGATTTTGTCCTCCATTCTTGAGACGCTTTACAGTCACTTCGCCCCGTTTCCACGTCACCCCATCTCCACTTTGCCCCATCTCCACTTCGCCCCATCTCCACTGCCCCCCATCCCTACTTTGCCACATGCCCACATCGCCCCATCTCCACTTCGCCCCATTGGGAACCTGCACTTTGCACACTTGCTTTTACCACAGCAACAGCAAAACACGAAGAAAACTTGCGAAATTAACAAAAGTTGCTTTTCAAATAAAAAAATCTATGAAAATGTTCAGGGTCTCGCTGAAAAATAAGGTCAGTCAGGAAATCAGAAGCGTTGTTGTGGCATTTGCTACTTGGATTCTCTGACCGTTATTTGGGTACTCAAATGTCAATTTTTTATTTGTTGCATCTAGGCTTTTGCCTCTGTAACTAAAGAACAGAATGAGCGATAATTGGTGGGGCGAAGTGGAAATAGGGCGAAATGGAAATAGGGCAAAGTGGAAATGGGGTAAAGTGGGGATAGGGTGAAGTGGGGATGGGGTGAAGTGGGGATGGGGTGAAGTGGGGATGGGGTGAAGTGGGGATGGGGTGAAGTGGGGATGGGGTGAAGTGGGGATGGGGCGAAGTGGGAATGGGGTGAAGTGGTTAGGGGCGAAGTAACCCGGACTCCCCTTGAGACAAGAATCAATCATCTATAGCCTAGCACATCCTGAACTCTGCTGTTCTGTCCATTTTCAGATTTGATCAAGGATATCCGAGACCCAGAAAAACCTAACACACTGGAAGAGCTGGAAGTTGTTTTTGAGCAAGGGGTCAAAGTTCATCCATTGCAGGAGGGATCCGATAGATACATCATCCGAGTGGAGTTCACACCAACAGTACCACACTGTTCACTGGCAACATTGATCGGTCAGTCACAGTAATGTTGGTAAAATTTTGACCTTCACAAATCTACATGCAATATGATCCCTGCAAGATTAGCAGTTGATCAAATGTCATTGCGTATCACCAATTGAAGACGTTTTGTTTTTCTATTGCAGGTTTGTGCATTAGAGTAAAGCTTGACAGAAGTCTTCCACAAAAACACAAGGTATCATTTTATTTAATGTGTGCTGTAAAAGACAAGTTAGAATTTCTGATGTAAGCTCTGAAATTCTGTTCACATGTGACCCTGTTTTGAAAGATTTGCCAAAAAAAATTTGGTGGGTGGAAGTTCTCTCCGAGCATCCACTAAAAACTGAGAATTGTAAGTAATTGAAATTTTGTCTTTCCTCCAAATCAGATCGACATCTTTATCACCAAGGGAACACATTCTACAGAGGATGAAAGTAAGGAGAACTTCCTCAAGTAGTCAATTCAATGTTTAGTGATTGAAACGATTTTCATGTACATAATTCCAATCACTATAAGCATAGAGCAAAACTCCAAACTTCTGCTGTAGTCTTTCCAGCAGTTGCATGTTTGCAAATTCTTTAATTTGCTCTGATCAAGTCAACTCAAGTTGGATTCTTTTTTTTTCTTGCAGTTAACAAACAAATCAACGACAAAGAAAGAATTGCTGCTGCCATGGAGAATCCTAACCTGAAGGAACTTGTGGAGAGATGTGTAGCAGATCACGATGCTTGAAATAGACCAGTACAAATTGGAAATAACAGTTCTAGCTGAAGCCAACATAATATGCTTCCTGAGAATTCCGACTTGTATTTGTCTGCATTACAAAGACCAGCCCAGATGTTCTGTTTAAGTATAGTTTATTTATAATGGCAGTCTTTGCCAGTGACATCTGAAAGGAACTTTTAAGATAGATGGAGCTGGGTGTATTTCACCACTTTCTTAAAAACTCTCCATATAAACATACCTTCAAGGGTTACAAAGTAGACATCCTTCTATTGAAAACCCATCAGTGAATGGCAGTGTGTGCTCAAGGTGCATGCTTCATTTTCTCAGAGTTTTGCAGTAACAACTTTGCTTTTTATTAGCAAGTTGTAGGTCAAGGAGTTGAACAAACTTTTACTGAAGCTCAGATGATACTGTGCCCAGATTCATCTGTGGTGTGTCAATATCATTTTGCACTTTGCTCTTTTCAGAGGGTAGTGTCAAGAACTAGCTTTACTTTCATATTTGATATTAATGAGATGCATGAAGACTGTTTTCTGTCAGATATAAGCAATGGGAGCACCCCTTCTTCCCTGCCTCAAGACCTGTGATCAAATCTGGGTTTGAGGAAGCCAGTAGGGACTGGTTTCCTGGCTAGTCTTCTCTTAATCCTCCACTGATGATAACTGAATGCTCTGTATGAAATATTAACAAAAATATATCACAGTAATAATTGTACATTTTGCAAACACTTGTGTACTTTTTATGATGAAAATAAATTTCTTGTAGCAGACATTTGCATGTTTCATTTTGTTTTGGGAATTTTGTGTGCCATTTACCTTTTGTACTGTTGGCAAGCATGGAATGCTGTATTCTGTCAAAACAAAGGCTCTTGGCTTTAAGGTAAATTTTTGAGGAAAGTCCATTCAGAAAAAGTTCGTACGGATTTGGTTTGGTTGGCAGTATCTTCTACTCTTTGAAATTAAGGCTTTCACCTTAATCCACACACGTAATCCATTGTAAGAATGAGGCACTGTTTTTACACTTGGTGTTAAAATTCTCAGGACACTGCTACCAGGCACAAATCTTGGGGCTAACACTAGCCAACAAATGCAAGGTGCATGTTTGGACATTTTAATTGGAAACGATTCAGATCTGACAAAATCAACAGGTCTGCTAAGTCTCGTGTGATGGGCAACGCTTCTTTCATACAACTCTTGCATTTGAAAATCCATCTGTCTGTAAAGGCACCAATGCAATTATCAGGGCAATCAAGGTGTGCACAGTCCATGACCAATACAAAAGACACTCGCTGAAAGCAGGTGAACATCAGACATCTCAGATGGTTTATTGTTTCTACAGCAATCCAAGTTAATTAAAAACCAAGCCTATGGAATTAACAGTGTATGTATCTCTTGGAATTGAAGGAGACTGACTTCACAGAGCACCAGCCAAATTAATGTATGACGTAGATTTCTGCTGGTAACCAGCTATCTGTGTATTAAACGGAAAGATATTCAGTAGTAACACCTCAGTGAAGCCAGTCCCTGTAAATTTAAAATCAACAATATCTCAAGTTTAAACCATAACTTCATATATAATTCACAGAGTTATTTATTTAACAGGCTACACATGCACACAAAGAATTTGTACTACAATCCTAAATACCCAAACATGGCTATACCACACACACGGCACACATCAGTGTATGCAGAAATGGAAATGTTTTTGAGAACTTTTTGTTATGTGAAATGAACGTGATATTCAAACAATTTCAGAATAACATTTTTTGTTGAGCAAGACCTGAGTAACTATCACTTGAGTGTTTTATGTGTACCTTGACCAATAAAACAGAACATTTTTTTTAGTATAAGCACAGATGCCCAACTATTGTATTTGATCTGTGCTACAAATTAAACCACAAAGTAACAAATTGGGTATGTACCCCGTGGAATATGGGGAATCCAATGCAGCAGTTTGCAGTGTAATGTGCCACTACGAGAGATTCAGAAATGAAGACAGTTCAATTATTTTGACTGTAATTAAACCACAATTTGAGGAATGGTTGCAAACCACTGCATGACCGACTGCTCCAATAGTTTAATAAGCACTAGTGTTATAGTCAAGACCGTCGCAAGACCATGCACAAGACCATGCACAAGACTACACCCAAGACCAGTCACAAGTAACGGTGTGAACAATGACAAAGGAGTGCTTTTGTTGCAGTTCATTTGAATAGCATGTGACTTGAATTCAGACTGGAGGTCTTGTGTTGGTCTTGTTCTGGTCTTGTGAAGGTCTTATGTGGTCTTGACTACAACACTGGCAAGCACACTAAAGATAAGGACATCTGAGTAATCCAGATAAATGGGGTTCTTCAACTGTATAGGTCGGCATTCCCTTCTAAGAGAGTTGATGCGAAGGAGCTTGCTGCCAAGGAGAGTTGCACATGATGTCACCGTGTGAAAGTATGGGCTCAGGAACTCAGGACAACTCACTTATCTTGAAGGGGTATCAGTTACCTGAAAACAAAAAACAAAGTTGTTCAAATAGTGACAGATGAATTTATGGTATCTTTGTGAAGTACTCTGGGAATGTTTCCTGTGGGTGCTTCAAAGTACATAACCTTGGTTTATAGATCACTGGATTCCAGCTGGTTTAGGTACATGTAAGTAGCTGGTAACAGTGCCCAGGATAAATAAGGATAACAAATGACATAACATTTTCTGCAGCCGAGAAACCAACCTACATTATCTTGTTTTGCTGTGGTACGTCCAGTCCAAGTTCTTCTGGTGTGCTGATGCCCAATTCATCAAGTGTTGGTTGGACCTCTTGAAGTATGTAGAGATAAATGTTCTTGTTACCTCCAGCCTTGTCCTGAAAACAGGGGGAAAAGCACGAACACTAAATAAAGGCAACTTGAGAGTGCGTCAACAGGTCACATAGGAGTTGCTGATGACAATAACTATATTTCAAAGGCCAAGATTCCAACTCAGTTTTTGACTTTGATTAACCCTAATTCCCTCTATTGTTCAATCCTAAAAAACAACAACAAAGACCACTGTACAAGTAAAGCAACCGCGGACTCATTCCTTGTACTTTAACTTTCAAATCAAGTCTTGAGATGCTTTGGAAAGCTTTGAGGAAGGCAACAGCTTGTTCCTTTTTTCTTTTTTGATGGAGTCCTACATCACACCTTCATCCTTCCTGCTGTATATCCACATCCATCTTTTTCTGTTTATAGAACTTTTTCGCCCACATGACTAAAATGTAAACAATACTACACCTTGGCCACGGTGATCGCATGTATTCCTACAGGCAGCTCCAACCACGTACAGACGCACGTGTGAATGCTGCTTGTTTGACTAGTTTATCTTGAATAGGTAGATTACCATTAGAACACTATGCACTCATTACCATCACAACACATAATAGGTCCAACACAAACGTGACTTCACAGGAAAAAGGTCTCTACCTTAACTGCTTCCAAGATGCGCACAGTCATGGCAATGTCATCCAAACGTCGGCAAGCCTTCAGAGCAGCAGCAACAATCTTGGGTTCTGGGACCAAGTCATGTCCGTGAAGCTCATTCAGACCTCGTCGTAACTCCCAATCATCAATCTCTGGACGGTTGAAGTAGGCCTCCCATCGTGCATCAAACTGCTCATCGGTCTCTTCCTTCTTTGAGGAGTAACTCCTCATCTGTGAGGCAACTGTTGGGAGATTAAAATTAGAGGTACAATATTTATTGCACTCACCATTGGGATCACAGTTAACATGTGCACATGACCACAAGGCAACTTTGACTTAATACAACACTTTACAAAGAAACCTATGTGTTTACACCAAATAACAAACAGATCCCCTCAGCAGCTCCAAATCAGCAAGGGCAGTTTCAAGCCAGAAAGATCAGAAGTTTCTCCCTTAAGGAGTGCTTGCAATGTTCACTATAGCTAAAGACCATCCTGGAATGGAATTGTTACACCCCAAATATGCCAATGAGCCATGGACGTTCCCAACTGTAGCGATGTACATGTAGTCAGGCTTACCCAACTATAGTCGACAACTTTCTGGCCCTTCTCATCTTTGCAAATTACACCAAACAAAATTCATTCAAAGTACATGTATGCTGAAATAGCATCTAAGCCACACTACAAATAAAACAAGATTCTGCGGGCTTCATTTACTGACATGACTGGCATAAATGATATTAGCACCTGCTATAGCTGGCACACAGGATGTACACTGCATGGAGGACAAAAAGTGGCCATCTGCTTTTCTGCTATCGGAGTAGTAGAAAAGCAGATTTTATGTTCTGGTTAACATGCAATTTTGACTTTTCTTCTTTTCTGCCACCTCAAAGAGCAGAACAAACATTGTTTAATTATGCATTTGTCTATTTTTCTGCTTCAAACAAGGCAGATTTCACCTTTCCTTTGTTCGCTGACAGCCGAAAAGCGGCCATCTGCTTTTCTCCTTTTGAACAGACAGATATAGGATGGAACGTTTGACAACAACCATGAACTCTACGAGCAATTTTACATAGGCGACCGAAAAGTGGCCATCTGCTTTTCTGCCTTCCAAGGGTCGTGAACGGGGTCATGAACCTCAGGTTATGACCATTTCCTTTCCTGGGGATTGAAGACGTATAAACCAATAATTACAGTCCACCCTATAATTTTTAATAAAAGATTCACATGTTTTCCTTGGACCAAGCAAGCTTGTGTGTCTATAGCGGTAAAACTGTATTTCCTTTGAGATGCTTTTTGCTCTGCCTCACAGGGACACCGATACTGCGGTATGGGATTAGTCCCCAGAAAGCATGGCTAAGCATTGGTTTGTACGTCTTCACTCCCCCAGAATGGAAAAGATCGCAAGCTACAGGTTCATGACCCCATTCACTGCCCATTGAGGACAAAACACAAAGAATAGAGGAAAAGTACAATTACTTTTCTAGTAGCAGAAAAGTGGAAAATACATTACAACAAATGTTTATGCTGCTTTTTAGGTAGCAGAAAAGCAGAAAATTGCATGTTGCAAAGACAACCCACTATTTCATAAGAATAACCTGTGTCAGCATAGCCGGCTTCACAAGTAAGTGGGGTGCTTGAAGTTTGTGGTCATGCTGGAGCTCTGTCTGGTTATTGCGCGATAGATCCCCCAACAATGTGCCCTTTCAAAATACACAATAAATCTCAAAAATGTGATTTTTTGCTTTTAAGTTAAGGCCCGAGAGATCATGATTGTTATTCGCCACTAATGACTCTCATATCAGTCTACATGTAGTTCATTTTTTGAAAAAATACTTATTTTGCCTGCGCGTTCTGAAAAAGTTCTCCGGCCCTAAAAAATGTATTCAGTCTACCTTTTAAAATGGGACAAATCAACAAATATGAGTAAATTACTAATGACAGAAATTTGCTAAAGTCTTGCTGGATAATGCCCCCTCCCGTGACACGAAAAGCTGGATACACCACCAGCGGACACCTTTAGTCAGTCTTTTTTAAGTCCACCTGTTGACACACAATACAAAGGCTTGCAATGTAGGCCTAAATTCTAAGAAATTACCAGGATTTGTACAAATCCCAACTTTCAACTTCCCCGCAGTAGGCTCAGCTTGCACGCAGGTAACTACATGTACATGGAGATACATGTAGGCCAACCGCCACCAATGCACGCCACAGCCTTGCCCCTGATGCTGTGTGTACTTGCGCACCATGTTGCCTGTGCTTTATCAATATCATGAGCGTGTACGCAGCTTGGAATCTCTAAAGTTGAATAGTTGTGCAAGCACACTGTATGAACTGCACTGGACATGCTGGAGAATGGCTGAAAACAGCCCACAAGCACAAATGGGAAGAATTAACAATACTTCCGAGTTCATTTTCCCGTTTCTGTCTTTGTGGTGATGTGTCAAAATTCTTAACCCACCAGCTGTGGAGAGGACACGCAGGATTTACAAACGTGAAATTTAGGAAATTGGCTTCTTAACTCTCCTACATGTATCAGCCTATGCAAAGGTACATTCTTGACACAGTTGTCATATCAGTCAAAATCAGTCAAATTTCCCATATGTGTCTGTGTACTGGGGCAAATCAAGTGGAAGGAATTTTTGACTGTTTTTGACGGTTACAGCAGAAGGAGGGTTAAAACAAAAGGTAGGCCTAGGCGCCTAGACAATTTAGATATTTTGTCATGTTTGTAGAACTTTTTTAGCCTAGGCCCTAGTTAAAAAATTTTTCGTCCCATTTTAGACCCTCTATTTCCTGGACTCCCTCCATAACTTAGTACGGTCAGGAAGTCCACCTGTATGAAGGCCTACATGTCGAATAACCAAAGGCTTTGCTTTGCCAATCATGCCAAGTTATTGATCAAGTTGATCATGGAGGAAGGAATTCCTTCCTCCATGAGTTGATCTTGTGGTCAGTTAGTCAGCTCAGCCATAGCCATGACCATCATGACCATGTCAGCATCACGTTCAGTTGTTTAGGCTAGGCCTATTCAACTTTTTTTTAAAAATGTTAAAATTACTTACCAACAGGTCGACCACAAGCTTGAAGGCTAACTGCCGTTCTTGTATTGGTCACAATGCGCGATACTACTTTTCGAAACATTGTGTATCTCGTTTGTAAAATTGCGTGCAAAAATGAACTACACAAGAAGAAGTCCCTTGCCGGCGAATGAAATGGTGACCTCTGACATTTTATGCAAATTAATTAACTGGTTCGCAATCCTTTTCTGTTTTAATGATATGTCCGCGTGAAGGGACCAATGAAATTAAGGAATTACTCTTTCATTCCTTATGCCAATAATTTCTGTCTGACCCACATATTTTAGTGAATGTAGAACGATCCCAAAATCACACAAACAAGTGTCATCTGCCAGATGAAAATGTTTGGAATCGTATGGAAGTGGCGAGATTAAATGAGATCGAAAGCACATATTGTGTTATTAGGATTTCGACATGTATCAGTCGTTTGTCGCTACGACTCCTCTGTTACATAATAATATGTATTAATCTAGAAATGAAATATATTTTACTTTTATCCTATATCAAAAAACCGGAAACTAATGAGGTTAATAATTTGGTATTATTTTATTTTAAATTTTTTATATTTAATTTTTTTAAATAAAAGTTTTTCCCTTTCATATTTTACAGCTTTTGTTCGAGGAAGTGACGTAATGATCATAACATTGCACCTTTTTGCCGCACCGTACACGTACGTACGTACGTAAGGACAGACAAGGAGAGAATGCAGGAGAGTTTAATGTATGTGTACATGTACGTCGGAATTTTGTGATTTCTTCTAAGGTTTGGCGTCCCCATTTTTGACATGGATGAAGAGGAAGAATACATCATGGGTGAGGAAGACGGAGAAGAGGATGATATGGGGTCTAGTGACTTTGAAGGGCACTTTGAAATGGACGATGATGAAGGTTCCTCGCAACGGGAGCAAATTGAAGAAGACGACTTTCAATACGAAGTGCTTACGCCAGACGACAACGTACAACTCATGGTTGACACTATTCGAGAAGTTAATCTTGTTGTTCAAGTAAGTCTTTTTTGTTGGATTAAGCAGTGAGACAGGAAATATATAATTTATGTTTACTGCTAAACGATAGAGCAAGGATCTGTGTTGGAAAGATATTACTTGAATCATATCCCCAATATTTTGTACTTTTTTCTGCACCAATCAGCATTAGAAAAATAGGCTAATTAAAAATATGAATAAGCCTAAATGTACATGTATATGATAGTGTGCTTTGTTGGTAGGGCAAGGGAGTGGGGAAAGAGATTTTAAAAAGGGGGGCAAGGCTTTCGGAAGGAAAGAGGATATCCCCGCTTCCAGTTCCACTTCTCTCTTTGATGACATGGTCCAACGTCGCGACATGGCTCGATGTTGCGTAATGCACTCATCACTCATTTTTCATCCATTTTTTCATGATTGTATAGGTGAATCTCCCCCAATTGAGTTCTGCCATTTTAAGAGGGGTTTCTACAATACGTCTTTTGTGTGATTGTTGACTTTTTACAACATTTTATACAACTTTTTATGGATGGCTATAAAAGTATAATCACCCCCTTGTGTCAAATGTAATTAATTTAATTCTTTATTTAAGTCATTGATAAATAAATCACAGATTGGTACTGGTACTCTGTATGTATAATTGTAACTTCTTAAACTTTTTTCGTTTCTTTCCACAAACTCATTTGTTCATCAGCAGATTAAAAAAAGTTTTGTTTTCTGTCACGTGGTGCATGCTTTTGTTGACATAATTTATGCCACATGCCAACATGACCATGAATAGGAAAGTTAATTATATTATATTCCCATTTTTGAAATGGGAAGAATTCTACATGTACATATGTTGGATGCCACCTTTTTAGTATGTCATGTACACCATGAAGTTTGAAAGGTGTTGCCTGTTAATTTTAGGCTATTTGGGTGATATTAACAAGGACAGTAGGTTCATCAAGGAGGAACAGGCATGGCAAGTACACGTAGGGTTAACCTACTGTTAATTTCAACATGATTAACCCTTGAGAAGCGTGATGGTCCAACTTGGAATTCTTTCCAGTACAAAGCATGTAAATTGCAATTTTTCCAAATTTTTTCGTTTAATACACAAAACTGACAGTGGTGACCCACCTGTATACTGTACATGTATTGTTTGCATGTGAGACCTTGCTTGTGCTTGTACTGTGAAGGGTGAGCGATTGCACAGTGGTGACTATTGCTCTCTTTAAAATTGTAGATATGCAAGGTTCTCACGGCCATGGTCAGTCCTGGAAAAATGTCCTGGAGAGTCATGGAAAAGTCATGGGAAATTGGGAAAAAGTGGGAGTCCTTGAATCTTCATGTCCGAGGAAACAAAGCCATGGAGAAGTCACAGAAATCACGGCAATCAAGGGTTATTTTTGATGGGTTTGCTTTTGATGTGATTACATGTAAAGTTACAAGCTTTGTCTGTCTGTACTTGCTGCTCTGGCAGTCTTTCATTTCATTATACCAAAACAACTTTTGTCTGCAAATGGCATTAAATGTCATGGAAATTATCATATTTTAGTCCTAGAAATTCCTAGAAGAGTCAGATTTATGTTGGAACCCCCACATACATGTACTTTCTTTGACTTGGATGACTTTCTTTGACTTGAATCCTTTACAGAAATACATGTAATATGAGCATTACAAACAAATAGCGTAATATCACAGGGATGAAGTGAAGTATGAACTTACATGTACACGTATCTACAGCCAAATGTGATCATTGATTCTGTCTTTCGTCCATCTGATAGTGACAACAGGGCATGTACATGTATTTCATGAATAGTATGAACGTGTACATCACAGTGCAGAGGGGACATGTACATGTAAGTGTGATAGTAGTACCCGTACATGTAAGTGTGATAGAAGTACCTGGACATGTAAGTGTGATAGAAGTACCTGGACATGTACATGTAAGTGTGATAGAAGTACCTGGACATGTACATGTAAGTGTGATAGAAGTACCTGGACATGTAAGTGTGATAGAAGTACCTGGACATGTAAGTGTGATAGAAGTACCTGGACATGTACATGTAAGTGTGATAGAAGTAGCTGTACATGTAAGTGTGATAGAAGTACATGTACATGTAAGTGTGATAGAAGTACCTGTACACGTATGTAAGTGTGATAGAAGTACCTGTACATGTAAGTGTGATAGAAGTACATGTACATGTAAGTGTGATAGAAGTACATGTACATGTAAGTGTGATAGAAGTACCTGTACACGTATGTAAGTGTGATAGAAGTACATGTACATGTAAGTGTGATAGAAGTACATGTACATGTAAGTGTGATAGAAGTACCTGTACACGTATGTAAGTGTGATAGAAGTACCTGTACACGATAGAAGTACCTGTACATGTAAGTGTGATAGAAGTACATGTACATGTAAGTGTGATAGAAGTACCTGTACACGTATGTAAGTGTGATAGAAGTACCTGTACATGTAAGTGTGATAGAAGTACCTGTACATGTAAGTGTGATAGAAGTACATGTACATGTAAGTGTGATAGAAGTACCTGTACATGTAAGTGTGATAGAAGTATCTGTACATGTAAGTGTGATAGAAGTACCTGGACATGTAAGTGTGATAGAAGTACATGTACATTTAAGTGTGATAGAAGTACATGTACATTTAAGTGTGATAGAAGTACCTGTACATGTAAGTGTGATAGAAGTACCCGGACATGTACATGTAAGTGTGATAGAAGTACCTGTACATGTAAGTGTGATAGAAGTACCTGGACATGTACATGTAAGTGTGATAGAAGTACCTGAGGTCTTTGAAAAGTGTGTTCATGTCAAAAGAACGCCCCACAGGTTACACAGTGTAGATGCAAGATGACCATTGATAACCAACATAGAAACTTAATCATAATTGGTTCTTTCCTGTTGGCAATCCGTACTCCAAAAATGAGTGTGCAGTGCAGCCTGTGGGCACCTTACTTTTCTGTACATGTACACATGTAATATGGCGTCGTAATGGTTTTTCGCTGTCTTTGCAGTTGACAGAACGTGATTCGAATAAAGACATTGAGTACAATTAAATCTGCTTCTTGAAACATTCACTATGAACTTAAAACAAATTTGTAAAGCATTTGAAACATTCAAATAAACATGTACATGTATGTCTGCTGTTAAAGAATCATGCCAATAACCTTAATTCTACATGTACAGTATATACATGTATGCTGAAGGCTGACATGTACATGTGTACATGTAATTGTAAAAATAAATTGTTCAGCTTATAAGTTGATGAAATGATATAAAGTTTCTTTACATGTGTTCATTTATATGTGTACCTACTTTTGTGTTGTGATAAACTGGTATTTTCCTGATGTCTGATCTGATGCTGCTATTTTAGTGGCATTTTAGGACAAAAATGTATACATTGATTTCAGCTACATGTACATATATCATATGCAATTCAACCATTTCAGTGCCAGTCAGTGTCATGTAACATGTTCCTAAGTACTGAAGTTTTCATCTACTAGTACTAGTACATACATTGTACATGTATAGAATCTCACTTTCATTTTCATTGTTATTTATGCCTTTATTGCTGGCTCTTTGGCAGTTATGGTTTGTTAGTTTGCTCTACAATATGTTCAAGGTTTGAGATTCCACATATGCATGGAGTGTATGCAACTTCAGGTTACTTCTGTAAATTAAATGTGGTTGTTGGCCATGCATACGAGAAAGATGCAGCAGTGTTTTAGTTCATCACATATAATTTGTGTGTAAACCCTTTTAAATGTCATTAATTACTATCGGTGACAGGCATGCAAATCCAGCACAAAGGGGTTTGCCTTCAATTAAAATTTGTCGCCAATGTTGCAGAAGTGTAAAGTATATACCCGTACAAATCAGTGACTAATTTTTATAGCAGAAGGTACATGTACAGTGTACATGTAGGCATGTGTATGTGTACATGTATGTAGGAGAATAGACAATGTCCTAAGGTTTTTTTATAATGCATATAAAACCAGGTCATCAATGAGTAACTCATAGTACACATTCTCCTAGAGGCCTAAAAAATTGTTGGAGATTTAGAAACACATACAACTGTTCATAGGGCAGAAATTTTAAATGACTCTAACTCCCCTGTAGCTTCTGGTCATGGGGTCAGGGGTTCGAATCCAGCTGGTGATCTTGGGCAAGTCACTTTACCTCCGTGTGCCTCTCTCCACCCAGGAGTAAATGGGTACCTGTGAGGGCAGACATGGTTATGTTTAGCCGTTTGCATCGAAATGGTAGCACTAGGCTAGTATACTCCCCAGGGAGCTGAGATGGTTTCAGGAATGTTCAGATGATGTGTGAGCCCAATGTGCAGGGATAATGATAATACAGCGCCTCGGAATGGTTGCTAGATAGAGGGCGCTTTACAAGTGCTTGTTATTATTGTTATTATTATCACAAATCGCAT